GCACTACAGATTAGGAAGTCAGTTTGAGCAAGGCTGAGAAATGGTGCTGCATGCTTATTAATCGGCAAATATGCCACATTGACTAGAGTGTAGGATTTGTAAATGGGAAGAAATGAAGAGAGAATGGCAGTCTAATAGAAAACATGGTCTAGGTTAGTAACTGCCCAAACTGCCTAATCATCTGAATCTTCTGAGGAGTTTGTTAAATATGTATTTATAGATGCCACCTCTAGAGATGTCTGGTCCAGGGGGCCTGGAATGGGGTCAAAGAATTTGTATTTTTAAATATAATAAGCTATGGGTGATTTCTAAATATTTAAGTTTGAGCCATCCTGGCTTAAATCAGAGATGGGTATTGGTACTCCTCCTGTACCTAAATCAGACAGCAGTCGTCCTGCCATCAACTGGGAAGAGGTGTATAGACAATGGACTTGGCCTCTTTTTTATTCTAGCTAAAGTGATCCAAAGATGAAATACTTATCAAAACCTCTTCAGTTTTTATATCTTACTATGTATCCATTTTTAAATGAGGTTGAGCCATGTGAACTGATAAGCAAGAGTAAATCTAACAAAACATGTACAGGACTTGTATGTTGAAAACTACAAAATACTGATGAAAGAAACCAAAGTGGAGTAAAATTAATGGAGAGACACACCATGTTCATTAACTGGAAGACTCAACATGGTAAAGATGTCATTTCTCAAATTAATATTCAGGTTTAACACAATTCCTATCCATATTCCAGTAAGAAAATATATTGTATATTAGCTGGGATGATTGGATTAATATTAATTTTCCTAGGTGTGATAATGATATTGTGGCTGGGTAGGAGAGTCTTCTTATTCTGAAAAGGTGCATGCTGAAATAGTTAGAAATAAAAGGTGATGAAGTCTGCATTTACTTTGAAATGGTTTAGCTTTAAAATAAAAGTTTAGCCCTGGCCAGGTAGCTCAGTTGGTTAGAGCATCACCTGATACACCAAGGTTGCAGGTACAATCCCGGCTCAGGGCACATAGAAGAATCAACCAATGATGCATAAATAAGTAGAACAACAAGTCTTTCCCT